TACAATTTTAAGACCACTCGCCACTCTGGCAAGTTATTTTTTTACCAGCGAAAAATGCATTTTTTGTTACTGGAGAACAATGCTGGTGTCGGCTGGTTTCCTGGCAGAGTATTGTGTATTTCAGGCAGAGACGATATTTGGTCATGTAAGTGTGTCAGTCATGACGTTAACACAGCGCGCCGAGGTGGATAGCTGTTGTTAGGCGCATTGGCGAGGCGCAGCTGTGAGGCTAGCGGAGCCTTAGCCGCAGCATGACTGGAGGGAGGCACAGCCAATTAGCCTCCGCTAGCTTCCCAGCTAGCCCCGGCTCTCCGTTTGAATCCTACCAGAGCACCAAGCCCCGGTTTGTTATTCAGGTTAAAGTGGGAAGAAGCAGCAGGCTTGTTGGGCAGCTGAGTGAAGTGGAGGCTGCAGAGGAAACACGGGGACCGTCTAGATGTAATAGTCCCTGGAGGTGCTGTGGTGCTCAGCTGCACAGATAGGAAACCCCTTGGCTGACAGGATGTACCACTCTCTCACTCCGCTACTTTGTTAATAGGCTCGTTCGAGATGAACTGCGCCTCGTCTGCAAAGTAGACGAGAGCAGGCAGCCGCAGCGGGGGGCGGTGACAAAAAGCTGCGGTGAAGTCGTACAGTTTCCCAACCGTTTCCAGCAGCCTTCAGTCCGTACAGGAAGTCACAGACACACTTACATCCTGTCTGGAATGATGTCAATTCATTAAAAAAGTGATCAGACCCATATATCAGTTTGTTCTCAGTCTCCAGTTGTTTTAATTATGATAGATTCATTTATTAAAATGCTTTACAGGTGATCTGTAGTTTATGTTCATGGTTTATCCTCCATTTGATATGAATTCTCCTGTATCATATCAGTTTGACCTGTCCCCCCAACTACACAGGCTAAATAAACTATGTTTGACTATAAGGTTCATATTTTCAGAGGAAAAAAAATACAAGACAACAGTTTACATTAAAGATCAGTCAGATACAGTCAGGGCTTCACATTTGTACAGATGTTAGTTTAAGAATCCTCACATCCCACTGACCACAAGTCTCTGTGTTGCTAAATACTTAAATAATTAAAAAAGTCCAATATTAATATACAGTAGACTCTATATAGTTTATGATGAATGTATTTAGTCTCTGACAACTAAACTTCACCATCAGTCACACGACATGTTTTCTGTTCACAGAATAAACCTTCAAATCAGACAAATACAATCTTGATCTCTAAAATTCAACAAAAATGAATAGTTTATCTAAAACGTCATCTTGTTGAGTCGACATCTAAACCAATCAGCTGTTAGATCAGGTGAGAGCCAGGCGGTGCAGTCGGTGGAGAGCAACTGCAGCGCCTGGCTCTAAAAACTGTGGCCTTTGCTCTTGCGGTTTTATCGCCGTCGGCTTTTGTAATACGTCAGAGCAAGTCAGGATGAAGTCGGACACAAAACTAACCAGCATGCATTGTGCGTCAATCGCCGGTGATCGAATCTGCGCAGGCCTGGCTCATCTCGAACGAACCTGTTGTTAATGTACCTCCATGCTCTGAACCTTCGTAGAAGAAGAAGAAGTAAGAAAAAGTATAATGTGGCAATGCTGGCCAGGTATTGCGGAGCCTCCCACAAAAAAACTAAAGCAAAAGAACCTGCTGAGGCTGAGATTTTACCGACCGACAACCAAGAGACGGAGGTTAATGTTGCTGCTGCTGCTGCTCCCGCCGCTGCCATCCCCCAGTCTCATCCACCGGCAGCATTAAGTGACTTGACTTTTTTTCCTTTAAATTATTAATTATTTGGTTGGCTGGTAAAATATCTGCCTGGCTGGTAAAAAAATTCACTTACCAGCCAGCCTGGGGAAAACACCCATCTTCTTGGTGTAACGCTATAGTGTAAGTTTGCGTCAATGTAGCAAGTGTGACAGTTGGTTAATTAATGGTTGTATTTATATTTATAACACCTGTGAGCAGAGTGATTTTACTGTTACAAGTCCCAGTGATGTTATACTCTATATCAGCACTCACGGAATGCCTCTTGTCCAATCAGATTACTCGGTCGGAACTAACTGTTGTATAAAATACAATAACATTGAAGCACATCTGTGGAGAGAGTTTAATGGTTACTCCAACACATTCCAGGGCATTATTGTAAAACTCAATTTGTTTGCATTTAAGAGTATTCTTAACATACAACAGTACCCCCCTCCCTTACCCTGTGTGCGATCCCTCCAAAATGTGTTATAGCCTGTAACATTCATAATTCCTGCGGATGTAGTTGAGCCAACCATGTTTCTGAGAGCCCCAGGTAATCAAGATTGGAATCAACAAGGAGTTTTACAAGTTGTTCAGATTTAGACACCATGCTTCTGATGTTGATGTGGCCTCCAAAAACACCCCTGGGCAGGGCTTGACGCTAACTTTTTTCCCAAGGAGCACATGTGCTCCTAAGTTGAAAAAGTAAGGAGCGCACAAAGAACTTTGGGGGCACAATGTAAATTGATCAAATAATGTGTTTTCCGTAATAAACGTGATGCAAATAGACATTTACAAGCAAAATTATTTAATGAATTTGTATACAAAATGTACAGAAAGGTAAAATCATCAAGTTAAAGTATTGCAATTTAATTTTGTCTTTAATGTTATTATCTTATATATATTATTTTTGTAATATGATTATCTTATATAATGTTATTACTATCCTAAAACATTCTCCAGGTCCTCTGAAACTTTGCAGGACTTAAGCTTAAGCCTCTCTCACACAGAGCTTTCGCAGCGCGGGGGCACATACACAATGAATGGGTTCGTCGGCGGAGGTCTGCGCTTTGCGCGCTCTGTGTGAAAAGAGCTTTATTTCCACCCTACCCAGCAGCGGTACTGTGGCGAACGGTCCCTAAAGGCCTCTAGCCGTGATCAGCTGTAAAACCGCTTTGCGCTGGCTGTCCCATTGTTTGTCTATGGAGAGGGCAGCAATGCCTGACAAAGCGGCACCACTAACCTTGGCGTCGCGCACGATATTCATTGTGCCGACAGTGGCTTGGAAAACCGCCCATAACCGTGTGACACGGGGAAGAGGGAAGGCAGCTGGAGTTCCTCCAACAGTTGCAGTTATCATATTTTTTTTATTGACAAAAATATAGGCTGCTTCGGCTGATTTTTTTATGCGCACATGTGCCCCTAAATATTTTTTACAGTTCGCACACACCTATTTTTAGTCACAAATGCGAGTGAAATGCTCGCACTGTCGAGCCCTGCCCCTGGGTTTAACCTTGGGGTCCCAGAGGACCTTGGCGTGGTTAACAGTTTGAAAGCATTTGGTTTGTTGTTGCTTCAGTGTTACCAGATTATTATAAACTCCACATGACATATTTTGGTGTGAGGGGCCTTCAGAGGGGGAATGACATGCAGCAAAGGGCCACAGGCTGGAGTCGAATCCGGACCGCTACCACTAAGCCACCAACGCACCGCATGCATGGTTTTTAAGCCGAACATTGCCAAAACAGAGCAGCTGATATCAAAGCAAGAAGTTAGTGAAGTGAGATACTCGTCCATCCAGGAAACCCTGCATCATGTTTTATCTTGTAACATTATTGTTTACACACACCATGTGCTGTCTGTTGCCCTGTATTTTCTCTGAAATCCAAAATATTTCCACTCTGCTGATTTATTCCAGAGTAAACAGTGGTATCCTCATCGTCTTTCTCTTGGCTGCTTGCTGTCTGCCTGCCACTGTTTGACAGTGACACAGACTTTCAAAATAAAAGCGTATGCTAAAGATGACGACTTGACGAATGTTGATGTTTTCACTTTGCATCGATGATATTGGATTGTTGATCATTAAATTGATATGTCGATCCAGAACGTTACACCCCTAACTTTTACATACCTGAGGTGGATGGGGTAATGGAAGGTGAACTACAAGCTAGGCGGTTGAAAACGGTGCATTTCTCTGCCTGTATGTGATGTACTTTTGCTGGATGTTTGGAAAGATTGCTAGTGTTATCTTATTGCAAATTAGAAACAGAGTTAGTGACATAAAAACTGTACAAGATCACATTTATATAACCTAAATGAACAAGAAATAGATCTTCTTAATTCCCCCAATACTGATAGCAGAACCGTTCATGTCGGAGCTTATCAATACTGTGGTGTTTAATAATTAGGCCCCGGGGCACATTTCATACCAGGTTTGGTACCCATCTATACTACCATGTTTCCACTGCAATGCCGTCCCCTCTGCCGTGGCTTGGGAATAAGCAAGCACCGCTAGCTAGCTCCCACCCTACGGAAGTGGTGCACTGTGCAGAGCTGTCAAGGCTACCTGATCAGTGGAGACTGGAGAGTGGGCACTATGTGTCACCATGTTAACGTGGCTAGCCAGCGGTCCGTCAGCAAAGTCAACAGAAAATAAATTATAATCAGGAAACATTAAAATTTCACCACATTTCAAAGCACTGTCCATTTGGACAGCGTGTTGAAATGTGGCACTGAAGCCCACTGAGTCAGTGGAGCTCTGGACTAAAAGGAAGGGCCTCTTGCATTTCACCTCATTACAGAATTACCAAAAACTGACAGACACAGACTCTGGAAAAGAAAACATAACAAAAAACATGAAAACATGAATACATCAAGTGACAGCAGGAAACTAAGAGCATGTTATCGCTAAGACCATCATCATCAGGTCACAGGAGTCAGTCAGTTCAGTCAAGATAATTGTTTTCTTTATTCTTGAATAGAACATAAAAAATTCAAAGTCTTAAAGAAACGAGTGGATTTTTAAAATGAATAAATTCCTGTTTTTGGCTGCTGTCTTGTGGAAACTTCCTGATTTACATGAATTGTCAGTAGGCTCTGACTAAAACTGAATGATGTTTTTGCTTCAGGAAAAGAAGTGTAAATTTGCTAAGGATGTTTCAGAGTCCATCAGATCATGACCTTTGTCACAAATGTAAGATTTGTTCTGTACGCCCTCGCTGTGTGGATGACTGCTGTGTTCTCTGTGTTGCAGGAAGAGTGTTCAGACCAAAGTGGATCAGATCCTGGTAAGAACCAACAGTTGATGATTAAGCATGAGATCAGTGACGTGTGCAGTTGAGAGGAAGCTCCTCACATCAGAGCACAGGTCTGATTTGTTCTGTTCTGTTTTAACAGCAAGATGTTCAGCGTTTCTCCGACAATGACAAGCTGTACCTGTACCTCCAGTTGCCCTCTGGACCCAGCTCTGGAGACAAGAGGTCAGACCTGCTGCTGGTTAACCCTTTAAAAATGGACTGGGAGATCGTCGTTTGCATGATCCTGTTTAAATAGATCTAAAATAAGAACCATAACAGATGGAGTATTTATTCTTTTAGCAGCAGAAAGCAAAGGCTTCTGTCTTCTTCAACATTATCAAGTCATTACTTTGTTACCTTACCTTATGTGTTGTGCAATTTTGCCATAATTGCAGCAGAATTTTGCCAGGAATTTCCCCGTAATAGCCACAGGAGATTGCTGTTTGTGTAATTCTGTATATATCAATCTAAAATAAGAACCATAGTAGCCAGAACATTCATTCTTTTTACAGCAAAAGCCTAAGGCTTCTCTCTTCCCTGTCATGTCATGACCTTTAATTACCTTACCTTATGTGCCGTGCAAATGTCATTTGCAGTAATTATGCTGGGATTTCTATTAGTAGCCTCAGGAAATTCCTGTTCCTAAAAGTACGGATGCATGATATGCTGATATGTAAGAACTAGGAGTGTGCCATCATCTCGTTCACAATAATACCAGTGTAATTTTTAATATTATATGAAAAATTAATATTGTGATACTCATAATATTTTGACTTGTTGACATAATGACGTCATACTATTACCCACAGCCAGGGGCAGAAATCCCGGGGGGGACAGGGGGGACATGACCCCATCACAAGTAAAGCTGTACCCCCCTAGAATAATTTGAGACACAATTAATAATTTTTGAACAATGCAGTAGTATTTATTAAAAGCACAATGTAAGCAGTGCTCATTATAATCACGCAATAATGTGCTATTTAAATCTTAAAAGATTTAGTCCCCCCCTCCCATTCCTAGTAGTGGTATATCCCACACTCTTTCCAACAAGCGGGGCTAGCAACTGCAGCAGTAGCAGCGTGTGGCTGGACCCAGCTGCCCACATCGCGCATCGCGGGTTAAGATGTTCACTCACGTGGACACAGTTTAACTTACACGAGTTACAACACATCCCATTTACTGTTACAACAAGTCCCAGGCCCAGGCTGATAATATAAAATGTCTGCAACGTTTCTCCTGCATTGTTCAAAAGCCAGAGTTTAGTGATAGTCTGAGAGTACAGGAGAGAAAGAAGAGGGAGAGGACAGGACAAGAGCAGTCAGTGGCGGAGCGGCTCGTAGCTAATGGTTACCTGTCTGTAGGCTCTCCACCTGTCAGTGAGACAAACATGAAAGACATGCAGTTTAACCGACAAGGAGCGGTAATTACGCGCGACTATTACGCACAGTTGTGAGGTGCGCAGCGACAGATCTCACAGCACACTGTTTATAAACCAGTTTACCAGTTTAATTGCAGGAAATGTTTAGTTGTTAAGCCATTTCTCATAAGTATAGATATTCACTGTATATCCACTTTTCTACATGTGGCTGCTGCTGGCTTGAGTCTTGACTCTGTCATTATCAATAACTTGCAATGCTGAGATAAATGTTTAAAGTCCAAAAAAAAGTAATTTATTACGAACAGGTCAATAAAACAGGTTTCAAAATTCAAAAAACCTTGTAAAGAAACGAAATATTCAGTGTTACACATTTTCTTTGGTTACTTTTCTTTCAAACGTTTTTCAAAGTTATGATCTCACAGTAGGTAAAAAAACAAAACAAAACAAAAAAAAAAAACGGTTTGCTCCTGCAGCCAGCCAGAGAGGACGGATTCATTCCACACACCTGAAAAGATGCTGTATAAAAGACAGGCTACAACTTTTTTTCCTTGTCCCCCCCTGGAATTATTCTCTAAAAGTTTACTGTTTAGTGTTCCCTCCAACCATGAAATGGGATTTTCGCCCCTGCCCACGGCAACAACAAGTATGGATGAAAGCAAATTTTTTACTGACTCCACCGTGGTTACAAAAAGAGGAGCAGCTTCAGAAGTGTGGAATAAACTGTGGCGTACTGAGGCCTCATTTACACCGCAAGCGATGCTTTGCATAGCAATCGCAAACAGTCGCTGTTTACCAGCATTTTCATTTCGGCGAGCATGTTGATAGGTTAGAGCATTCACACCACATCCGTTCTACATGCTGCTCGAGTCACGCTGCTTTGGCGAGCAAGCTTGAAAATAGAAGAGACGCCAAATTTTTTGCGTGAGTCGCAAGTGAATGGTCGTTGTATTCAACAAAAAACTTGTGTTTGCATGTGTTGTGACCTCTCTCGACCACCGTAGACACCGAGACTAATAGGCTTATTGTGCTAGTTAAGGCTAGTAATACAAAGCAGACAAAGACTACTTACTCATTTGTAGTGCTAAATATTAATTCTCCAAGCGTTAGAATAATCACTGGCACGCGAACCTGTCCACCCTGGGCTTTGGGTCCAAACTCACTTCTTCTTCTTTGGGGTTTATTGGAGATTTGCAAACCAGTGCACTATCGCCACCAACGGTTCGGGTGTGGTTTGTATTTTGACAGGACAGCAGCGGCCGCTGCACGATGCGTCTGTCCGGTTTTGGTGTGAATACACGTGTGCTGCCACTCCACTGTGGACTGCTTCACGAGCACTACGCGAACGCATCGCTTGCGGTGTAAATGAGGCCTGAGTGTTTTATAAACAGCCATGGACTTCTCAGACTCTTTTAGCGACTTGCCACTGCTCAGAGGGAACTCATTCAGCGGCTCCTCTGGCAGCAGCACAGCTTCTATCCCTCTCTTCTCTAGCTGTGCGCACATGGTAGTCGGTGTCATCAAGTGATTTGGTCACTTGACCTTTGGTAATGTAAGCTAACGTGACACTTGACAAAAAACAACATATATGAGAATGTGCCATAGTTATGGCAACTTGTTTTTTACTAATTTGTTATATCATCAAGAATATTGCTATCACAAAAATATCCTGAAATATTGTGATACTATTTTAGGGCCATATCGCCCACCCCTAGTAACAACTCATTTGACCAATGTTATGGTTATGTTATCGATATATCCACTTTTTTCCCCACCTAATTTTAGTGATCAAGTCTCTTCTGTAGTGGAATTAACATCATATAATGCATGCATACTCTTATCACTGCATGTATCAATCTTATCAATGTATGTAATATTTATTCATTGTGCAAAATAAGAAAAAGCATGTTGGTCGATTCTGAGTTATTTTAAAGCTTATATCAGCTGATATAGATGACAATATCTAAAGTAACTACACCTGAGAGTGTCCATCTCCGGCACAGCTTGGTGTGGCACTGTGCATCCTACCTGACAAAGTAAACACAAGTCGCCGCAGCATGGCTTTACTTGGCACGGCAAAGAGTGACAATGGAAAAAGGGTATAAAATAATTAAGAAATGTTTTGTTCATGTTTCTACACTGAAAAATATTTTGAATCAAAATGTTTTGTGTTTTTATGTTGTAGAATAAGCTGAAAAAACATATCAGATTTTTTATTTTTTGTTAATGACACTATTTTAATGCTTTTATCAGTTCTCATGGTTTTTGACTTACATAACCTTTCAGCTTGGCTTGTACAGATTTAAGAGATATGAAGCATTTGAAGAAATTACATCACAATTAGCAAAAATGTCAGTGTAGGCACTGGTGGACCATTTCTGTTGCTCACTTCAAAGGGTTAACTAAAGGACATGAATACTGCAGTGTGTGTCATATTGAGTGTGTGTGTGTGTGTGTGTGTGTGTGTGTGTGTGTGTGTGTGTAGTGGTGGCGACTCCAGCTCCTTCAACACAGCTGATCAGCTTCACACCTGTAACTGGATCCGCAGTCACCTGGAGGAGCATTCAGACACCTGCCTGCCTAAACAGGATGTCTACGAGACATACAAGTCAGAGACACACACATTCAGATCATCATCAGATCAGAGTTTTTTGGTTGGGTCATGTAATCTCTGACTGTCTTCCTGTCTATGTCAGGAGATACTGTGAGAACCTGCAGCATCGCCCTCTGAGCGCCGCAAACTTTGGGAAAATCATCAGAGACATTTTCCCCAACATCAAGGCCCGACGGCTCGGCGGCAGAGGACAGTCCAAATATCCTTTTACCTGCTGGACGGACGCACAGGATATACCATGACTCCTTAAAACAAAGAAGTAAATAAAAGTAAAATAAGGGTTGCCATCCATCCATTTTCGTAACTGCTTACCCCCTTTGGGGGGGGGGGGGGGGGGGGGGGAGCTGGAGCCTATCCCAGCTCACGTTGGGCGAGAGGCAGGTACACCCTGGAAAGGGCACCAGAGTATCGCAGGGCTAACACAAAGACACAGATAACCATTCACACCTATTGACAATTTAGAGCCACCAATTAGCCTATCCCCAACCTGCATGTCTTTGGACTGTGGTAGGAAGCTGGAGTACCCGGAGAGAACCCCTGCTGACACAGGGAGAACATGCAAACCCCGCTCCCTCCTGGGATCGATCCAGGAGCGCTCTTGCTGTGTGGCGACAGTACTAACCACCACACCACTGTGCTGCCAATGAGTTTTCATACAACTAAAATAAGAATAGAAGTACAAATACACAGAGATTATGCAATAGGGGCGTGATGGAGTCCCTCCTTCATGCCAGCTTTGCTTTTTTATACAGAACCAAATAATAGCGGCGTCATGTTGCCCTAGTGTGTCGCTGGTGTTCTCAAAGCAAAACAGGCATGACAAGCATACCGTGTAACACACAGAGTTGGGTAAGGGTTACTTTAAAAGTAATCAAAGTACTTTACTGCGTTACTTTTTAAAAAAGTAACCAGTTACTTTACTGCGTTACTCCCTGAGTAAAGTAACTCAATTACTTTAAAAGTACTTCCAAAGTTACTCCCTGAGAAAAATAACTCAAGCACTTTTAAAGTACTTTTGAGTATTCTACATTTCCTATTGGGCAATGGACCACAGGGCGCTAAGCCTACATTTTTTTGTCTCCAAAATTAAAGTTATGGACCACTTGCCCTTAACTGAGATCCAGTTCTCCCATCACAGTCGTCACTTTGACCAGTAGAAACACAGAACGACCTGCTGCCGTAGTCAACTGTATGACAACAACACCCCAGCATTTTTAATATTTCCTCTAGGGATGTTACCACACAGAGTAAAAGGGGGAAATGATGGTGTGAAACAGCAGAGGCACTTTGTCAACCCGCTGAGTTAACCTTACTGTCATTAGCATCAAGCTAGCAAACAATGGTACATCCTCACGGTTGGACATAAAGTAATAACATTAACAAATAGCGGCGGGGCTTTTACTCATCACAACTGCAGAGGCTAGCAGCTTCACTTGAAACAGACTACATTATAGACGGTCCGTTATTTATTAATCCCTCTGTATCTTTGTGTTCTTACTTTTTATCGGCATGCGTTGTCTTCATAAAGTTAACGCATTGCGTCGTCATTTCAAACTCAACACTTCCTGATTTTCCTTCAAATTAAAAGCCCCTTATAACCTCGGCTTAGAAAATCCCTCAGTTTTCTAAATAGGCTTTTATTGTGAAACATTTGTAAGAACTTGGTTGTGGCGGATACAGTAGCTTGAATGTTTATGTATGGTGCTTCAAATGTAGCTCCTGCCATCTGCTGACACTTTTAGGTGACTACAACAACATTTCAGCTGGCACATGAACAGACACAGTGACTGAAATAATAGTAAAAGTAGTAGAATAGGGCAAGAATACCCCGATGACATCACACACGCTGTCAAAGACGACCGGGGATAATTGGTGAGTACTATCGTGTAGTGTGTCATGTCTGTCGGCCAAGTCACGGCACGATTTTGACTCCACAATTGTGTAATGTGACATAATGATAAAGTCGTGTAGTGTGTACCAGGCATAATGCAAGTCCTGAGTCTGACCTGTCTGTCAGCGAGTCCTCCTCCACCTTTTTTTAGACTCCACCGTAGACAATTGCAGCATTTCTTCTACCACGTAGCGAGCCACAAGCTTTGTGGCTTCTTTCGGACTGAAAGGTTTAACGTTATCTCCGTTATTAGAACCAAAAGACAGTCGTTGCTGTTTTGGAGCTGTAGGACCCGTGTTCTACAAGTAACGGAAGTAACTGATGGCTTGTAGAAAATGTACTTAAGTATTTGATTACTCAAACAGCAAACTAACATGTTAGGTTAGTCATTACTGCAAAAAGTAATCAAAGTACTCTCTGGTAACACAACAGTGTCAGCTTCTAGTTTTAGTTTAGTTTAGTTTAGTAATCTTTATTTCGAACATGCAAAGAAATGAATAAATAAATAGCAGAAGAAAACAAAACAAAAACAGTATTTGTAACAAGAACAAGTGTAAAGCCACTGAATTAGAAAAATAATCTATAAATAAATAAATAATAATAATACAAAAGCAAACAATTTACAATACAAACAAAAAAAAAACAAAAAAATGAAACAGAGACGCACTAAGTGGTCTTGTGTTTACATGTCCGAAAAGGAGTGGGCTGAAGTAAAAACTTTTTTAATCCCACCC